ACCTAATATCGTGATATAAAAGGGTTGATTATATCGATTTAAGAAATTTCTATATCGTCCAGCCCTAGTCCGTATGTGCATCTAGTGAACTGGGTTCGGTGAGATTCTTGCACTCTCATGTGCAACTCTGCTGCATTTTGCAAGATATTATTAATTTCAAGCTTCATTTTCAACCCTCTGAAATCAATCTGAAAAATCTCTTGATCATTTTTTAATGGCTAATGTAATCACGAAAAGAGTTCTTTATCAAATTCTGGCTATTTTATCATGATCATGTAAAGTCTTTGAAAATTATTTTGCATTTTGTCAATTTACATAGTGTTTAAAAATATTTTTTGAGTGCCTAAAATGTTCTTAAAAGGTGCTTATTTTTTCTTGAAAGATTTGACTATGCACCCTGTAAAAGCATAGTTTATTTATACATATTTACTATCTAACATGCTAGCTAGGCAAGTGCAGTATCATTATCTATGTGTACGCTAAATTGAATAAGAATAAAAACAAGCTGTCTGATTTAATAGTTTAGCAATTCGAAAATTTATAAAGTTTCATGTGTAGAAAGTACAATTTTATGACTTATACCACTTTATGCAACTGACATTGCTATCTAAACAAGTAAGGCATTTCTTCAAATTTAATTTTTTACGCTAAATTAAAAAAATAGTTATTTGAAGTAATTCTTTAGAAGAAATGAGAGTTTAATGTATGAAATATAAAAATTTTGATTTACCTTTTACTCATAAATTATTTATAACATCAAAACTATTAGATCTATGAAATTCTATTTTTTTAAAATTTTGTCTAAAAAATACATAATAAATAATGTCAGACTTAACTATACATCAATGTTTCAGAATTTTATTGCCATAAAATTAATTTACATTGCATTAAGGGATCATCAATTTTATTCATCTACACTTTTATGAAAATTATTTTTTTCAATTTCTTAGTAAAATTGTTTTTTAAATATAAGAGGATTTTCAATGGCATACTTACAATTTACTATTGTAAAATTTAAAACATTCATTATTGGTATACGATTATTTAATTAAAAATTACAGGATTTATTTTAGGACAAATTTATTGTAATATATAATATATAAATTCGAATTTATTAATAACTAAGAAAAAAACAATATTTTATTAAGAGCATACTTTTTATGTATCATATTTTGTTATAGCCTTTTACGTGTTTTGTTTTGCATTTTGAATAATACAAGAATCAATTTAAAAATTAAAACATTTAATATCAAGTAATACTTAGAACATTATTCATTTACATTTCAAATTTTTTAATTTCATTCATAAAAACTATGTTACATCCCTTTCTTTCTTCACCAGACAAACCTTACAGGATTATACAAAATATCTGAAATAAAAGAAAGAAATCACTATCATGATAAAATTTTACCAACACATTATTAGAGTAAGGGAGATTAAATACCATTAATTTGAAATCATTTAAGTCTTTAGGTATCCCTTTTAAACTTATTGTTAGTTTGAATGATATTTTGATTATAGTTCTAAGATTATTCTATACACTAATGAAAGATGGTAGGTATGTTTGGTTTTGTAGTTTTTATATTTGGATTGAAATTTGTTTTAAGAAAAATAAATTGTATTTATAAACGAAGACTATTAAAAATGTAAGTATATTGAAAAATTAGTAAGGTACACTTACATACTTACTATCATTGTAGAAAAGTAAAGTATCAAAACATAAATGTAAAGTACAAATCATTATACACCAAGAAAATAGAGGGGAGGAATGCAGAAACACATGTTTTCTAACTTGTTTTAAAATAAGCTTTTCAAAAATTAAAAGAATTCTTAGGGAAGAATAAAATAATTATTTCACAAATAATAATAATAATAATAAATTTTTTTTCAAATAATCAGACGCATGTTTTTACAATCAACAGAAATAAAGATTAAAATTTAAAAATAAAGAAATATAATCATTGTTACATTTTGTGTTATAATAATGCTACAAAGTTTGGCGAGTTGCTTGCCGAATATTTCAAAGTGAAGCTTTTCGCCAGTATAAATCTTTACATATATAAAAATAGAAATTATTTCTATCCAAAGTAATTAAAACTTTAATCGGAACAAATTATAATAAGTTGTAATTTTATTAGCTTAAAATGAATAAATATTTTAAAAGAAAATTTATCTAGAAAATAGTGTACTAAACTCTGGTGATTTGCAGGTTCCTGTTATGATAGTACATCAACTGCATTCAGATGGTCATCTCATCGTCTGAAAGTATTTTTAATGTCTTAATTTTTTAAGGAAATGTTATTATTAAACAAAAGAACTGTTCCGTTTCATCTATAAAATTTTTTTATCCGATCATCCTCTTCACTAACGTCGGCGCCAGTTTTATTTACATTTGTATATGTCATCACATAAAATTGAAACGTCATAAAAAGCAAACGATCTGATTGGTTCATGTAAGAAATTGCCTGAACAGTTGCAGATATTTCGTGCAACCGGGATTTCTATATCACGAGGATTTTTCGAGTAATTTTTGGAGAAATTGCCTTTAGAGTTGCAGATAGAGTTGAGGTTACACTTACAGTTGTACTTATTTTCTCTCGTGTGATAGAGGCAATAGAAACTTGATCCCAAGATTGTCCCACTAGACAGATTGCATCCAAAACATTGAGCCTGTATTTTTTATCCTCACTTTCATCTAAAGATTCTGTTATCTTTCTCATGAGTAACATTCTGTAATTAACTTTAACAGATCGAATAATGCTAAGGTCTAGTCGTTGCAGAACACTCGTGCAATTCGCTGGAGAAAGCAACACCTTGACGTTAGTTGAGTTGGAAACTAGAGCATGAGCAGGACAGCGATCGATAAACAAAATAATTTTTTCCTTCTGCATTCTCATAGATTTGTCAAGGGCTCTCAAATAATCCATGAATAGAGAAGAAGTCATCCACGACTTTTTGTTAGCTGCATAAGTGGTGGGTGGACTCTTGACGTTTTTGAAGCAACGCAGTTTTGCCGATCTGCCAATGACTAGTGGCTTTAACTTGTCAGTTCCATCTGCATTGGTTGTAAGCAAAACAGTTACTCTCATTTTGCTTTTCTTTCCTCCAAAGCATTTTTCATTTTTATAGCAAAGCGTCTTGTCTGGTTGTAAATCATAAAACAGTCCAGTTTTGTGTGCATTGTAGATGTCTGATGGTGAATATCCTTCAATCAACTTTTGCAGCTTTTCTTTCCATTCCTTTACAACATTTTCGTCCATATCTGCCTTTTCACCGCATATCTTCTTCTGACATGAATTATGTCAGTTCTTAAATCGGTCAATCCAACCATTAGATGCAGTTAAGTTTGTCACTCCATGCTTCTTTGCTAATTGAAGAGCCTTTTCTTTCATTAAAGGACCACTGACAGCAATATTCTTGGACCGAACCATATTAAACAGGGTGCGTAGCGTTTGTAAAAAGTACTTAAAGGTGCTTTTTGGGAGGTTTTGCTTTTAAAAGTGCTTTTTTCAGCTGGCGTTTTTATAAAGTGCTTTTTTTTCACGAATTTTTTTTCTTCCTTCAGTGATATCTGACGGATCCCCTGCATTTCACAAAAAATGGGGTGTTTGCTACATAATCATTCACACGGACTTCATGTCGTACCCATGATATGACCTGCGCATGCGCGCACACTTGAAACTGAAACCCGAGTACTCCAATTCGGATAGAGTCAGATCCTTATTAAATGTTTTTCTTTTTAATTTATAATTTTATTCTTGTTTATGTTATTTTACTTCTAACACTTTTTTGATGTAGGGGGGAGGGGAATTTTGTTCTGAGTTCAGAGTCAAGTTGAATTCACTCGGTGATGTGGGAAAGTACTGATTGTTTCGATTTACGTCCGTTTCTTGTTGAGTTTTTTTTTAATGCTAAAACTGTTCATAAAATTTTTTTGTTTTTCAATAATATCATTGATTCAATATGAATTTTTTGAGTGCTTGAAAATTTTTGTAAAGTGCTTGAAAATTTTTTAAAAAGTGCTTATTTTTGATTCAAAGATTTGGCTACACACCCTGTTAAACCATTCTACCTGTTCCGATTCAAGAGCAGTAAGAGGGGTATCTTTTAATGATTTTCAATGACTTTTCCCTGACTTCGACGCATCCTATTTCAATTTCTTTGTGCTGTTTCACAATTGTTGCTAATGTTGGCGCTGAGATCCCAAGACGCTCTGCTAAAGCATTTTGTGGTCTGACGTTATCAAATTCTCTTAAAATTGACATCTTTTCACTTAACGAAAAACGTTTTAGTTTTCTACTAGCATCCGCCATAATGGGTGATGATTTGAAAATTCTAATCGTCCAGAAAACGTTCAGTACAGCTCGCTTCTTAAATTGGAGTAACGAGTTTTAAAATTCTCCCCTTCGCATTATTCAGCAACTAGAGATAAGATAAGAAAGGAATTTCCTGTTTGACTCATAGCCAACGTGACAAATCCCCGGAACATGACCTTGCAAGTGTAATGTCTTATTGACTCCGCCCACCTACCCACAACGAATTTTGTTTTTCCCTGTTGCTGGCTTTTCTTTTGTTTGAGGCGAAAGATTAAGACTCCCAGGAAAGATTTTTTTTCCTTTAGAATCTGCCAATTACAAAAAAATGCAATATTTTTCTGATCAAAATTAATGAAAAATATTTATTCCGGATGCTGAAATAATTCGTTAATTAGAAGTTTTTGCTGGAGGTGAAAAAAATTCATTAAATCGCAAAAATCGTTAAATAGGAGTTCGTTAAATCGGGGTCCGACTGTACTTTTTTTTGTTTAGTTTTCACAAATTTTTTCTGGTTAATATTTTGCATGCTTCTTAATGATGATAGAGGGCAATTTTTCCTCACTAACACTTAAAGATTTAAGATACTTGACTTTTTCAGCCTATCCTCAAAATTCTTCTATTATTATTTTAACAATTTAATGCATAGTTTAATATGAAATAATGTTGTGTAATTTTTCTTTGTAGCTAGTACCGACATGGCTTGCACCTAATTTACTGACATTCACAGGATTTTTTTTGACGCTTTTGAATGCTGTTTTACTTTCAATATATGACTATCGCTTCTGTGCTTCCAGTGATTCATTTCCTTCGTATCCACCAATTCCACAGTGGGTTTGGATAATATGTGCCATAAATCATTTCCTTGCACATACATTAGGTAAAGTTTTTTTTAAAATTATATTTATCATGTTGTTTTTGAATAAGTGCATGTATTATTTTCAAATACCAGTTTAGTAGGACCCATATATAGGGAAGAGCTCATGAAGTAAAAAAAGGCTCATTAAATCATGCAAATCTGATTATAAGGTTAATACTAAAAATTAAAATATGGAAATGTAACTCATTTGTGAATTGCTTCCAGTCAATCTTTATGTTTCGTGCTTCCGATAAATCTACCCGATCTATCCAGCGATGAAATAACTTAAATTTACAAGAAATACCTGCGTACACATATTTACAAAAGCAACCATTTTATTTTCGTAGAACACATCTAGCACAACATTCTTTCTGTTGCCACTCACACTTTTCATATATACACAGGCTAAAGAATCGTTTTAGTTAATATTTACACTTTAAATGAATGACGTCATCTTATGAGAGTGACGTAACACTTTATACTGAACAGTGAAAATATGTTTATCTAAATTTGTTTACAAAAAGTTGGATTTAATTTTCAATGTAAAACACTCAATTTAGTTTCTTTAATGTTTCGTCATACATATTTTCTTTAGCTTCAAAAAACTAATCAATATTTTGTAATGATTCTAGAGCACTAGTTCACAATGGTGTTTTAAGTAACCTTTCTTGTTTTGAGTAATTAAATTCACTTGTCTTTCTTTTTTTTTAACATTCTTTTACATTATATCTTAATTTAATACTATGTTTACAAAATTATTTCCTTTATTTAATCCCAGAAAAAGTAAAGAGAAAAATATTAACTTAATTTCATTTTTAGTATTGTACAAAGTTTTAATTTGTCTCATTAGATTTAAAATCGTGTTAAAATCAGGGGCGTTATTGGTTTTTCTAACTGTAGTGTGGTATCTTAAATTATCAACTTAAAGCTTTTAAAAGTGTGTAAAAGTATAGATAATAGCTTTATTTTTAAACCATATTTTGAAATGTTTGTATTGATTTTAAATAATTATTTATGTTGAACTCCAAGCGTAACAGAGGGGAAATCACACAAGTATTTTATTCTAAAAAATACATTATAAATATTTTTGAAAACAAAGATTTTTCTAGAAAATGCTACTTAAGGATGCAATGTTTAATTAATTGATATAAAATAATAAGAGCCTCATAATTAAATTTCAAGTTAATTAAGAGTACTTGTAACAGAAGGACAAATAAAATCATACGTTTTTGACATGCACGCTGTAATTTATGCTAAATTCTGTGATTTGAACCATCCTAAACATCTAATTTTTTTTACCATTATCACATTTCAAGGTAAAATAAATCATTATATGACTTTTAAAATTGCTGACACTTTTTTTAAAGTCCAAATAATGCATCGTAACAGAGAGGACATGGAATTTAATGGAGGGGACATCTTACAAATTTGGCAAAAAGTTAAAGGGAAATATCACTGTTAAAAGTGACTCTTTGGTTATTTAAAGTTAGAAATAGCAGCACTGCTATGATTGAAACCTGTGCTACATCTTTGTAGATATATTTGAAAGTTTTTATTTTACCACACCGTGTTTAAAAAACAAACAAACAAATGCTTTGTTTCTTTCTCAATTTCAGTTATTTGTCAACAAAATTAACTACCCAATTTTTTTACTAGAACTTTTTACACTTGCAAAACTATCTATTGCAACATCAAAAAAATCCCAGTGTTTTAAATGGTGACTGGTGTGCATTTAACATGTTGGGTCAGAAAGTCCTCCAAGTTCCCAAAACAAATCAATACCTCTGGGGTTACTGATGAAGAAGTTCCCTTGTCTTTTGGATTGGGTTCAAAATTACAAGGCTACAGAGATGAACATTAGTAGCTGTAAACTCAAATTGGGGTCGGCTGTTCAACGACAATTATAAAATAAAGTCACTTGAACGATTGTTGTAAGTTGCTATATTTAGTAATTCAATGTAGTTATTAGGCAAACAACTGTGATTTTAATAGTAAGTTAATATATTCGTGAATAGCACATAAATTTTATATGGTGTTTTACCTACGCATAAAATATGGATAGATCATAGTACAGCAAACTTAGATTTGTCAATTTTTCTGTTTGGATGCATGATGCATCTGCTTTGATACTTGATATGCTTATATCAAGGTGCACATTTGGCTTTGTGGACTTCCTGTTCATTTTCTTTGACAATCATGCACTCAGCTCTACCGGAAGTCTGGTACGAAATTTTATCAAATGAGTAGAAATTTCTTACAAGTTTTTTTTTGTATCATCAGAAGCTTGATTACTAGGCTATTTCTTTTGTTTTGGTAGAAAGGTTACAGAGTATGCAGAGAACAGTAGAACGTTTCTTAGAGATATAGGTAATGCACGGTTTGCTTTTTTAATAGCTTTTCCCAATGTTCAAGGAATATTATAAAAAGAATATCCTTCCTGAATTTCTACTGCTTGTATCAGTGCCTTTTTATTATGACATAGAATTTTGTATATTTACGTTTATCATAGTCGCAGTTGTCATATAGTTAGTTCAGTGTTTTCATCTCAGCAAAAACTGNAAATTCGCGAATTTTGAAATTGGTTTATAAAATGCGCGAATTTCTCGCGGTAATCATTTTTTAATGCGAGAATATAAAAAAATATGCGAGATTCTCGCGTTCTCGCGCTGTAGTGAAAACACTGTTAGTTATATACCTAAAGGGCTACCAATTTCTTAATTTTTTTATTTTTTTTATTTGTATTTTTTATTTATTTATTTATTTTTTTAAATATGAAAATTCAAGCAAACTTGGATAGTTGGCATTTTTGATTTAGCTTAAGAAATTTTGCAATTGTATGTATAAAATATTTCTTTTTTTTTTCTTTCTCAATTAAGTACTTCTGTTATATTAATAGTGGATTGTTTTTTTCTCCACGAGTTGGCAGTAACTATGAGTGAAAATTGATCATTTAAGTATTACTTATTTCTCTAAGAATATGGATTTAGCTACAAATTATATTGAAGAAGAGAAAAATTATTTCATCTTGGCTTAAGGAGGAAAAACCTATCCACTATGAATATATTTTTGAATTAAAGAGAATTGTTGCAAAACAATGATAAATTTAGTAGTTAGTTATTAGTTGTTTTTTGACAACACAGTGCAATTATGACAGGTTGTAAAAATGGTGTTAATATGGGACAAAATTAGAAAAATGTCTCTGGATTTTTAAATTGTATACATATTTTTTATTTTTTTAATCTATTTCAGTGTAAATAATCCATGAAAGAATGATGTAAAATTTTTATTGTGACAATCATATAAGCAGGAAAAAAATTGTAATACTCACTCATTTAAAAATTAATGAATAAAAAATTAAATAGGGGAAAAGCCTGGCCAAACTTTTCCCCAGCAATGAGGCCAATAAAACTGATTAAATTTTAATTAAATGATAAAGTAGTCCTTTAGTTTCAAAAATACATATTCTTTAATGTGATAAAACTATTTTGAAGGTTAAATGAATTATTTTTTTGGAGTGATGCTAGTACTCAGTTTTATCCATCAGATAAAGCCGGATATATACTGAAATAGCAGAATTTTTTTTCTCCCATAGAAATATTTATTTATTCATAGAGTTAAACAGTGACCTCTCTACACTGAGAAACATATGGAGATTTAAAAATCAAGAAACAAAATCAATTGTGTAATTTTAATAAATCAAGTTAGTTGGTCAGTGTAAGTTTTGAAATCTTATGACTTTGATTATGCTTGTTTGTGCTGTTACTTGCTTTAATGCCCATTCTTTACAGTTGAGGTACTGAATTCAATCTTGAGTTTCTTTTTACTGGAGGTTGCTTCTAAATGTCCCAGTTTTATCCAGAAATGTCATTGAACGAAAAATGGAGCATATATGCATGTATTCAAAACATATTATAATAATTTAAAAACATTGCTAAGAAAGGTGTTATCAAATGTTGACCTTCCTGAAAGTAAATCTCCAAGCAAATTAAAGCTACGTCAAAATCGGTGATGTAAAAATCAACTTTTCTGATCAAAATTATCAAAACATTGACAAACAGATAGCCTACACTGTCATTCATTCTTCTTAAAATAACATGGTGAGTTCCTGTAACTGATTTCATATGAGTTCTCATGAATGGTAGCAGTAATCTTATCTGAAGGTCTGGACCAAATTTGTTTAACAACTTAATTTATAAATGTCTCCAGATCCACCCCCCCCCTTCACCAAAGAAAAAAGCTTACAATTTTATTTTTGAAAAGTTTGTAAGTTGTGTTTGAAATCTTTAACAATAAGATGTTAGAGTTATTTAGATGAATAAAGTTTTTTTTCTTCTGGTAGACAACTCTAAGTTGTTCAAAAAAGGAGTTAAAGTCTCGTTAATAAGTTCAGTGGTACCCATGTTATGTCTAGAGTGGAACCTTTAATTTATTAAACTTAGAATGGAACAATAAATTTTATAGCTGTATTATACCTGTTATAGTTAGAAGATATCTACGTTACTGACAAATATACTATTTTTAACAATGTTTACTTCATTTCTTAGTATTTTATAGCATTTTATAATAATAGAGAATCTACAAAGTATAACAATAAGAATTTAGTTTAGTTTGTTTTTGTTTCAATAAGTTTCGTTTAATTGATATCTATCTTTTGAAATCAATATTATTTAGAATTTTTTCTTTTAGATGGTATAGATGGAAAGCATGCACGTCGTACAAAGTCATCTGGTCCATTAGGAGAGTTAATGGATCATGGGCTTGACAGCTGGGCAGCCTTGTTTATGCCAACATGCATGTATTCTGTATTTGGCTGTGGAGAGTACAGCTGTAGTCCTCTTAGGGTTTTCTTTATTTTGTGGAGCGTTCATCTATGTTTCATATTTTCACATTGGGAGAAATACAACACTGGAGTGCTTTATCTTCCATGGGGCTATGATATATCTCAGATGGTAAGCTGCTTATAAGCTTTAAAGAAATAAATATGTTTTGATTGTGTTTGGCTATTTATTTTGTTAAAGCAATTTGTTTTTAAATATGCTTTACAATAACTTCTGTTCATTGTGATTACATTATAGTTATTTCAGTAGATGCTGCTGTGATTTAGGGGCCGTTCAAAAAGTACGTACACAAAAATGGAGAAATTTTAAACCCCTCCCCCCCCCCTTCGTACATTACCGTACATAAGGTCTTACTCCCCCCCCTTAGAGTACGTACATTTTATTAGTCTACCCTCCTTTTTCATAAAAATTAAAATAATTATGTTTTAAATAAAATTAAATATTTAATTAAGGAGTGCGTAGGATACAGTCATATTTAAATTTGGTGTATGTTTTTAAAGTACGTACTTTGTACAATACCTCCCCCCCTCCCCATCGTACAAAACCGTACAAAATAGCAAATCCCCTCCCCCCCCTTCGAGAAGTACGTACTTTTTGAATGGCCCCTTAGAACATTCAGGTCACAGACCTCCTATTTTCCCTACTTTTTCTATTATTTCAGCACCCCTCCTTTTTTTTTGTTATTTCCTATTTCCTACTTTTTCTTATTTTTTTAAAAATTATCTGCCACTTATGATATTCCCCCTTTGAACATAGTGACAGCCAAGGAAGCAGAATAATGACTCTAGGTCAAGTATTGCAGCTGCACCTGTTTTTCAATTTATTTGTTTTGAATTTGGTGTGCGGATGGGACAGAGCGTTGTAGAACATGAATACTTATTACGTTAGCTTCTGTGTCTGTTTGCCAATTCATGTTTAACTGGAGTGGAGGAGAAATAAAGTCGGACAGCATAAAGAGGAATTAGATAGTGATACACTTGTTTTTCCTTTTTGATTTCGATTAATGTTTCAGAAAAATCTTGAAACCCAAGTTAAACTCTAGATGGTATTAATAATCGTGTGCCACAATAACGGCGATATTGTCTCAGAACATTAGAGAGTTTTTGCAGAAAGATTTTTTCCTGTGTGAAGTATAAAATTTTAAACTTCTTTGTTGCAGAAATTTTCGAAAGATATTTTTCACTCTGTTAAACTATTTTCAAAGGATGCTTTTCTCGCCCATCAAAGGAGAAAGAAATGCTCCTAATTTTTCTATTCTTATTTCAGGAAAAAAAAAAAATTTCGATAATAACTGGCTTCAGCTAGAATTTCAATTAGATAATATTAAAAAAAAAAAAAAAACTGAAATCACAAACGTTTAAAAGATAGTTTGCTCTAGAAATCATGTTCTTTGTCTCATTTTAATAAATTTTTATAAAGATGTAGTATATATATGTAGTGTTTTGATAATTTTTTTAGGCATTATTGCTACTAATTTTTACTTGTTTTTTTAAAATCTATTAAATTTTTTTAAATTAATCCTTCATTTGTAATTTTTTTCAAAAATAATAATATTATGGCACGCTAAAAGTTAAAATCGAGGATTCAAGAAGTCTCTCTTTGACACGCTCGGTTTGCGTCAATATCCTCATTAATCCGTGTGTGTTTCAATTATTCTTTAGGCCGTTATTGTTAGGAATTTTCCCTTTTTTAGAAAAAAAAACAAATCCAGATATTTTTTTTATACAATTGAAAAAAAAAAACTCTAGTCACTTATCGCCAAACACAAAAATCAAATGACTTATTTGTTTAATTATTTTTAATGTGACAATTTAGACATTTTTTTCCTTCAAATTTTCGATATAGTTTTTCGATTTTTTTTTTTTATTGCTGGTGCTACTGATCTCCACGGGGTTTTTAAAATTCCAGTTATTTATCAGTTCATATTTTTTCTACACTTGAAATTTGAACTGCATATTTAAATAAGAATTTTTTGATGCGTTGAATACAACTATTGTTATTGATTTCCACATAGTTTTTAAAATCTGATATTTTTAATACGATATTATTTATTACTACAACCGAATTTCGAAACAAAACCCGCATTTATTAACCCGTTTTTGAAGATTCAGATTCACATAACTTCGCCATCGATCTTTCTCTCGATAGTTACTACTGTGGATTCTGTATATTTAAATTTTTTTTAATGTCCTGATAATTTACAAAATGCAAAAAGGGAAATAAATCATGTGTTTTCTTCCCCTACAAATTGTCAGAATATTTCCCATAATATTAAAATAAAAAATATTTATTCAATTAAAAAAATTATATACAATTTTATTTTATCCAAATAAGTTTCTATTTTGTAAACATTTCTTTTACCTTTATTATTTTGCATTATGTTTTAATATTTTGCTAAATTTTAATATAAAATTTTGAATATCATTGGAAAATAAGTGTATTTTTCAGTTTTTCCTATTGGTACATATGTGAGATTTATGGCTTTTGTTAATGTCAAATTTGTTTGAGATTTATTTTTTTATATTTTTTAATTCCGTGTTTAATTTATTTTATTTTGACGAGCTGTCCAAGTAAGGGATCTAAATTCTTGTTCATAAGACTAACTGCTCTTAGGAGGTGTTTTTAAAGTTATCATAATCAGATTCTAATAAATTTATTTTCCCTTATATTTTGCAAGAGATTTTTATATTAAGTATTAGAACAAAGGTTACTATTTTCATTAAAAAACAGCTTAAGAGCTATTTTCATTGAATGTCATAGTTTGAATTAGTATTACTTGGAAATATCTAGCTATTGAATTCATGTAAAGAAGTTTTTATTTTATAAACCATGTAAAAATGACTGAAAAAACAAATGCATTTTATAACCAGCATAAAACGACAGTAAACAACTTAGATTTTCTAAAGAATAGTTGTGATTCCAGTGCCACAAAAAGTGATTTTAATTTGAAATTAATGTGTCATAATAAATTAAAGATATGAGGTTTGAAAAATCATGTCGATATGGTTGGAAAAGCAATTGGCAAATGCTGATTTACGATAGATTCATCGCAATTCAAGAGCATCAATAAGTGGCTACTCTAATTCAAAACAAAAGATACATATAACAGTATTAACAGTATCAAAATTAAAAATAGTAGAAATGGCAAAAAAATAATCTTAAGCAGCATAGATTTACTATAGAACAGTCTTTAATAAAGAACCTCAAAAAGTGATCAGTCTAATTTGAAGCTCATGTGTCACAACATATTTAAAATATTAGAATTAGAAAAACCATATCACAATGTCAGAAGGAAAATAACCAAGAAAAGATTTTAAGTTTGCAATAGAATCATTATTATTTGAAAATGTCAAAGATTGTGATTGCTTCAGTTAAAAACTAAATTGTAAATAAATAAACACAAGAAAATAGCCAAAACAAATGGAAAATGTCATGGATTTTCAATGAAATAATCACGATTCAAGAATGTGTAAGTCCTTATTTCGATTGAAAACTCTGATGTCGTAATATTTTAAAAAACAAAGTTAAAAAGAAGCGTGTGGAAATGACCAAAAAAAAAAAACTAATAACTGCTTTACAAATTATTGAAAAACACTGTCGACTGATGATGGAATTTTTGCTATTTGTGCGAATCGCAGATTCGTTACTTAAACTCAACATTTGCATCCCCCCCATCCCATTTAAAATTTCAGAATTTGAAAAACGACGTATAAGTAGCTGAAAAAACCATTAGAAAACGACGTGGATTTATAAAGAAATCGGCAAGAATCAAGCTTGTCCATGGAAAACAGTTAGGAAATGGTCAAAAAAGAGCTAAATGACTGTCATAAGAGCAATTAGGAAAGATCACTTATCGATTGTGTTATGAAGTGATTACTGAGTTTTTCTTGTCTAACTGATGTAGAATCTCTGCTTTCCCCCCCCTCTTTTTACCAATCTCATCCCTGTTTAAACTTATTAGGCTACAGTGATCATGAACAGCATATGTTTTGAGTCTAATGGTTGCTAGGGAAAGCTTAGTAATGATACAAATGTACTACAAAATGCTAAATTGTGTGAAGAAATTTATTAACTAAAATTATTTTGGAAACTTGCTGAAATATAGAGAAGAGTATTTGCACTTATTTATGACATAAATTTTAATCAAGATTATTTTTGTAAATAAATTTTGAAGCTTTCATAAAGGTTGAAATTCATAAAATTAGTAAACTTTTTTTTGATTATATTTATCAATTCATATCTGTTCAACTAATTAGTTTTAATAACTAATTTACAATCAGTTCTGAAACTTCTTTAAGTTAACCTAGTTACATTGTTGTGATTGACATTTAATATGATTTTTTTTTTCATTTATTAAAGTAATGAAATTTTTATTTTTGAAATTATTGAAGTTATAATTTAGAAAATGTGAGCAAAAAGAGAGTTAAAAAAAGTACCATTTTAAATTTTCTAGATTGGTGTTAATTGTATCTTTGTTTTGATCTTTATAAAATGTGATTCACCTTTAATGAGCATATATAGTTATAAATAATTTATTTTTTTTAAATTTTGTATTCCCAGTGATTCCAATTTTTTTATTTCTTAAGAAGTAATAGATGTGTATAGAAGAATCTAGATGAGAATATTAATTAAAAATGTTACTCTAGGAAATTAGAGTATTATTTAACTTTAATTTCATAAAAATATTTGGCACAGCTCATAAAACATTTATGCCTATGTAGCAAAACTGTATATATAGCTCATTTTTGATTCTTTTATTTAAATAATTTATTTCTTATAAATAATTTTAGAAAATTATGTTTTTAAAGAATGATTACCTTTATATTGCAGGTCTTATTAGGAGCTTTTTTAATTACTTATTTTAAATCGTACCAATATTGGAAATTTACTGTTCCTTTGCTGAATATGGGTTGTGGACAGATTATCGAACTTCTCATATATGGTAAGTATTGATCATTTTACAATAATTGTCTAAGTGGTTGTTGGTAAATATTTAATTATTCTTTCAAAGATGTATTAAATTAAATATTTTGTTTTTAGGAAAACAAAAGAATAATATTCTTGATTCTTTATGTATATTTTCAACATAATTTTTTGCTTTTTATAATATATTTTTAAATAAAGTTAGTATATTAAAATTTAAACTCTAATTATAATGTTTAAATGTTTTAATTAAATTATAAAAAAGAAGTAGGCTCCTTTTGTTTATGTGCTCTGTATTTGTGTCTGGGAAATAAGATTTTTTCATTAATAGTTTTTATATGATTGCTAAGATCTATGCAAGAATTATCCCTAGAATGTATATGTGGGTGATTCTCACGAAACATGACAATTCACTGTCCCTTGCTCCAAGATCTAATACTATAATACTAAAAGAACTTTTTTTTGAAAAAAATTAATAAATAGCATTGCTGTTAGCATTTTAGAATGACTTTGCACTAGCATTGACTGTTTTGTATACTTAAAAAATTTAATTGAATATCAAAATGTCATTTTCCTGGCATGTCCCAAACAATATTTCCAATAATAACTAGCTTCAAAACTTCCCATACATTTTTCAAAATCTAATTTTTTTAATCTTATCCTATGTAAGCATTTCTAGAATATACGCAGAGGGTATTGTTTACTAAAACTTCGTTTAAAATAATTTTTTCTGTCAATGATTTGCTTGTCTCATGAAAACCTGTCATTTTCCTGGCTACTTTTATTTAGCGATTCATAACCAAAATAGATAACGCCAGGAATCAATATCTTATGTTAATAGATTAATTAGACACCCTCCTATCTGAACATGTCTTGTTGCATGAATAAAGAACCAATTTTCTGGCTCAAAATCTATTTCAAAAAATATTTCAAGATTAGTAGGTTTTTATGCTGTCATTTTCCTGGCTTCTTGAAATCATTAGTAACAAAAACTACATAGATTTATCTGAGTTATTTTAAGAAATACTGTTGTTTTCTGCAGAATATAAACGTCTTCGATCAATGCTATAAAATGGCGAATTTGTCATTATCCTGGCTGTCATTTTCCTGGCTTATGAATGCCAGGACATTGAAGTTTTACCAGAAATTCTTTTTAACTGCTAATGTACTGTAAAGAGGGAAAGCAAATATTAACCTAATACCAAGTTTATGTATGATTGTAATATGCTTGGATGTAATCAAAGTTATTTATTTATTTAATGATTGATTATTATACACAATTTTATTCTGTACATATCAGCAACAAAAATTTTTTTGTTTCTTTCTACAGTGGATAAAAAGAATTAATTTAAGCAATTTATGGTCCATCTAACATAAAGGCTTAAGTTGAGTTACTTACTATTAACTTAAAATGACTGTTTTTTAAACTTCTAAGGTAATATGTCATTTTCCTGGCATTCAAGATTTGGTGAATTTCTATTTTATTTTTTTTCTCGAGCAAATGTCAATAAACTACACTGCTGTCTATAAGATATTAATAAGTGTAGCTAAAGAAGTATACAAAAAAAATTTTAGATTATTTTGAAGACTTTAAATTTGAAGAAATTTTTTGGTCCGAATTGTCATGTTTTGTGAGAATCGCCCATATGCAAGAAAACCTGTGTAACTTGACAACTTGCTGTGTTTTGCTTTAGTGGTCAATTTTGAGGTGATAAACTTAAGACAGAAGAAAAGTCAGTTTCTCTTACAGTTTCTTTTATCGTGCGATTCTTATATATACTATGTTATTCGCGGTTTTTATATATTCCTATTTAAAGTAAAGATAAGTGTAATTATTTAACAGGTCTTTAAAATTTTATTTGGCAAACCCCCAATTATTGTAAAAGATTCGTTACATAAGATTACTACATAAATAGATACATTAGAGTGTTATTTAAATAAAATGTTAAACTTAGTTTAAAAAATGAGATATTTTGATAGTCATCCATGCCAGTTATTTATAATAAATTATTTCTTAAGACGTACAATACAACAACATATGTTGAATTAGAAAAATTAATTTTATATTAATTGCAACATATTAGAATTGAGTTGTACATAGAAACCTATTTGTTTAAAAAGCTTTCAATAGCTTCCAGTATGGTCAACTCACAAATGGGTTTGGTTAGCTTTTAGTGTTATTTCACTAATTCAGTAAAATTGTATACATAACAGTATAGGAAATGTCCTAAAAAGTGTTTCCCCCCCCTCAACTTATAAAGGTATGATTATTAGAGTATTTAAAACAAACTCTACTTATTTCATTAGTTAACATACAGTATAGACAGATGGTCAGGTTACAAAATTTCTTTTCCATAAATAGGATAAATTCAGTTTTTTGGATTATAGATCTCTATTCAGACAGCTAGCAGGTTTTTCTGCTACATTTTGCCATTTGATAAGGCGTTCACTCTCTGATAACTTAAGATGTCAGCCTAATATTGGGCTTTTGCCCCTATGATAATTTGCTGTCTCTACCCTGAACTGACTCTTACCATAATTTAAAGAATTAAAATGTAGGTGTTTTTTTTTTCTTTCTATGCTGTGCAAACGAGTAATCTTTTCTCTTTGAAACAGCATAATGAAATCTGTTTTGTTTTCATCTTTTTGTTTTATAAAATCATTTTATCTCAAAGTTGAGATTTGATTAAATAAAATTAATTATAATGATTTAATCCTTTTACAGTTCTACTATGCTTTAGAAATAAGCTAACATGTGTTATAGTATAGGAAAATAGTTTTTATAAGAAGGTGATGTATGATGTAAAAAAAAATGTCACAAAGAAATTTTAAACTGCTATTAAATCATATTTTAAATTGAGATGTCGAATTAATATTGAAAACTAAAGTTTTTATTTTTATAAAGGATTTAGATTTTAAAATGGATTATTTTTAAAGCATGATTTATGTATTTTTAAGTTTATATGTGATTATTACTTCTGTTAGTTGTAGCACTATGCACAACAGTGATTCGCCATTTTACTGATTTTATAGCATTAATTCAAGTAAAGATTATTAACATCCAGATAAAGAATTATAGTTTGTTTTATAATATTATAGTTTATAATGTATTAAATAATATAATTCATAGCAATTTAAAAAATGATTCATTTGTTAAAAAAAAAACATTTTAATAGCATATCCTAGTTTTAGGTATGGCATCTAAAACCATTTTTTTTAGATCACTTACATTTAAAAAAAATAAAAATGTAGTATCGATGATGAAAATCTTATGAAGCTTGTTTAAAAAATTCTTATATATCATTTATTTAAAAAAGCTTTTTTTTTTTGTTCTTACTAATCAAAGTTGGTCAACTATATTTTTTTTTACTTAAATGGACTTAAGAAAAGTGATTGATGTTTTGAATCATTTTTTAAAATAAGTTATTTTTTTTAATTTAAATTTTAAAAAATAAATTAAAAACTTCATAGTTGCTTGCTCTACTGGATTTTCTAGTAGGCTATTGCATTTTGTTAGTTCCTGCTGGTTCAATAAAAAGTTCTAATGGCTTATTTATTTTTATTTTTTTCATTTTAAAAAATTTTCATCATTTGGCACCAGCTTGCTTGGGCTGGGTGGTCTTTTAGCTGCTACTGGAGTTCGAACCCCAGTTCTCCAGAATGACAAGTTCAGTACCTTAACCACTGAGCCATCACAGCTCCATTCTTATTCTTACCAGAATGAAAAGAAAAAAAATCTAAATGTGAAATTTTCAGAACTCTGCTACTTTGTTTCTGAAATTTGTTTTATTTATCAGTTATTTGTAATTAATTTTGTTCTTTTGATGTTAAAAATTATTTGTTGTGATGTATTTTATTCTTTTAACTTTTAGGAGGAACTTTTGCCATGTCATTACCAGTTAGTCTGTACAATATATATTGGTAATTATGTTTTTGTGATTTATCTTATTTTGTGAGTACTAATACTTACTGTACATCAATTTTCATAGTTTTTATGCTATGCGCATGTTAATATTTTTGGATTGTATTTATTTATTTTTTGTTAATATTTTCACTAATTTGCAATTAGTCCCCAATATTCTTAATTGAGTATCTAAAATCTACATGTATTTGAAGTGCAGTTTCTCCAGCAACCCCTTCTAATTTTTATATTTAAAATATGAATTTAGTTAGTTTCTACTACAGGTTGATTATCTCTTAGTTCAGTTAAATTTTTTTAAACTCATTAATATGCTGTATAAAATAGTCATTTTTATACCTTAGAATTAAATAAATGTAATTAAATTTTGTTGTACAATTTTGAGACCAATGGCATAATTTTGGCTAAGTGGTGAGTATTGCGCACTGGCTGCCTTTACTTCCCCTCCTTACCCTTCATGACCCCCTGACTCACAACTGGTTGTTGCAAGAGCTTTAATCAAATTATTATCATTTTGTATTTTATTTTGAACTTTATTTCAGTAAAAGTTATAGTTACATGCAAATAACATTCACAAGCTAATTAAAAAAAATTAGATGTGAAAATATAGATTTTAAAATTATGATTTTGTATTATGTAACTTATACAAAATACAGTATTAAATATTTCTTATCTAGTAGTATTAACACAAGTTTGATCTGAATTTAATTGAATGTTTTTAAGAGCTCTATTTTATTTTACATAATAAAGAAAAATGGCTGGAGTACATATGATTTTTATTATTATTTTAATAAAATGAATAAGATATGAAAATGTATTGAAAAAGGCTATCTTTGTTATAAAATTTATCTTTAATTTATTATTAAACTTCATTGAAGTACACTAATAAAATGATTTTCAAACATATATGACCATAATAAACTGTATGCAAAGTAGTTCTTTCAAACTGCCTACTTTCTTTACCTGTACTAAAAAAATTATAAAGAAAAGAGAAGGGGTTGAAGTCTATTTCCTCAAAAGGCATACACTGAGAAAAAAAAGACATTGTATTTACTTTAATTTTCTTAACATAATAAGTAAGTGAAAGACTAATTTTCTAACCAATCGCAAGACTAAAATATTCTTCCTGAAAGCTGAGGCAACCGAAAATAATTTGTATCAGTTATAAAAATTCTAGAATGTCTGTTATCTAGTAACAAATATAAATTTTTTGGGTAAAAATATTGCTTTTGTAATTTATGAGAATAAGTAAATGTTAAAAAAAATAACAATAGTAAAAGCAAATTGACCTATTACTGATTCCCATCTTCCAGAGAAAAGCATTTAATTTTTTTGTGCTTAAAAGTCTCATTTTTTAAATTTTTTTTATAGTACCTGAAAACTGATGCAACAAAAATGGAAGTGTGGCATTCACGACGGTTGGCCTCACACTGCCAATTTAAAATTTTGGCGATATCTTTTACAGGTCCAAAGCGTACAACAGTGTAGCTTTTCAATCGGAAATTACTGTAATTTCCACTGCTGGTTCAGAAATGTTAAAAATAAATTTTTTATTTATAATCAGGGATGTGATTCTTCCGCGGATCCGCTGATTTCCGCTTTTTCCAGATTTTTCCATATCTTCCGCTCTTTCTTCATAAATTTCCGCGCGGAAAAAATTTTTATGCAGTAAATGTTATTTCGTTGAAGATTTTTTTCTTCCGCGGAGCGAAAGTATTGAAGTCCCCAATAAACCTTTCTACATGTCAATCTGCTGGCTGGGGTAAAAGTGGTTGACCTTGGTAAAACAATGCCGTCTCCTACTCCACTACTCTCCTATCTTTTCAGGGATGAAAGACTTTTTAAAATTTCCGACCATGTTCCAAAAACTTTTGTGGAGTTGAACGAACGATATAGTCGGACTTGCAACGAACTCCCCCTCTGCAGTAGCCTCCTGAGAAAATGATCTTCAGAAAAAAATGGGTAGAATTTCAGCCGAATTTGACAACCGCGACTTCCGCTATAGATTGGCAAGAAGAAGAAAAATCCTAAGCAGTTTCGTTTCGGCCGCTGATATTTGATTTCTTTTGATTGGCTGATTTACAGAATTTTAAATATTAGGAACTGGGCCAGAATCTGCTAAAATTGCGATTCTTATTTAGATGATTTTTATGTAAATCATCGATTTTCGTATTTAACTGATTTAAAAGTTACTTGTTGAGATTCGTTTTTACACGATTTAAAAATCATTACTCGCAATTCCCATTCACGCAATTTAAAAATTCAATATCGCGATTTGTATTTAGGCGTTTTTAAAACCCAATATCGCGATTTGTATTTAAACGTTTTTAAAACCCAATATCGCGATTCATATTCCCGCTAGTTTAAAATCCAATGTCGCGATTCGTATTCATATATATTTTTAAATTTCAATATTGCGATTCGTTATCACGCGGTTGTAATATCAAACATCGATTTTCGTATTTATACGCGGTTTAAACATTACTCGTTGCGATAAGTATTCAGACTCTAAAAATTTTGCATCGTGATTCTTATTTACACCATTTAAAAATTCAATACCTCGATTTGCATTTTCATGCTTTTAAAATCCAATATCGTGATTCTTATTCACGTGATTTTAAAATTCAATATCGTGATTCTTATTCACGCTATTTTAAAATCAAACATTGTGGTTCTTATTCACGCAATTTTAAAATCCAACAGCGCGATTCTCATTCAAACGATTTTAAAATCGAACATCGCGATTCTTATTCACCCTATTTTAAAATCCAGCATCGCGTTTTTAAAATCCGATATCGCCCTATTCACGCGATTTTAAAATCCGCATCTCGATTCTTTTTCACGCGATTTTAAAATCCGGCATCGCGATTCTTTTTTACATGATTTTAAAATCAAGCGTCGCGATTTTGAAATCCAACATCGCGATTCTTAATCTAAGGCCTCTAAAAATTTTGTGAGAAATGAACTTTCTTGTCCTATCAACACTGATGATCAAAAGTCTGCAAAACGCAGTCTACAGATCAGTCATGTTAATAAAAGACCATCGAAAAAACAAAGAACTGATGAGAAAGTCCATAAAGGTCCTTTGACCATTAAAGAAATGTTTTTTAAAATGATGTGATACATAAAATAGTGCTTATGCATAATTACTCAAAGTTATCTAAATTATTAAAAAAAAAATTATTTTAATCAAGATTTTATTTAAGAACATAATTACCATTTATTTATATTTATTTGAGTAGATAATAATGTAATCATTATCAGATTGGCTATTGAATTCATATAATTTTTTCTTTTGCACGCTTAATGCTACAGTTATAAACTTCCTCTTTTTTGTGTTTTTGTCAATCACATCCCTGTATAATGTTAAATATAGCAACTGTGAACCTTATTTTTAATTTTATTGCTTTTCTTTTCTAGTGCCCATAAAAAAGGAGAGCTGAAACAGAATTCTCTGTGGGAAGCTATGCGTCCATTGGTGCCTATAATTCTATTGTTTTTAAGTACAACTGTGTGGGCAATTATGTCTCCTACAAATATCTTAAGTAATGATCCCAGGGTATTCTATTGGCTAGTTGGAACCGTTTTTTCTAATATTGCTGTAAGTAGACAATCTTTATTGTTCTGCTTAGGGACTATTAAAATATGGCATTAGTATATTTTGTTCATTTTAGACACTGCTCACTAATTTCTAACGAAAATGACATTAGGAGCCCCGTTATATATTTCTCAATGCAACTTTTTCCTATTTTCTAATAATTTATTTTCTATTTTTGCAGTTTACAGGGAGTTTTTGTTGCTAAAGAGAATTTTCTTACATAAGCATTGCTCCCTTGTGAAAAAAAAAGCAAATTACAAACATTTGCCCTGGTAAAGTTTTCATTTGAGTGGAAAACACTCTTTTCGTGATTGAGCGATTAACAATATTTCTAAATTTTCAAGAAAATATTAAGAATTTATTTTGAATTTCAACAAAAAAGGCATTAACTAAGCTAAAACTGTTCATCAAAAGCATGCACATTCTCCTTTGCATGCTTGTTTTTTCGTTTTATTTTTGTATTCTTTTTGTGCAAAGTAAACAGGACAAAGCTTGAAGATAAAAAACAGTATTTATTGCATAAAACATGCTACAGCTGACTTTGCCATTAAATAAAAACATCACAATGGGATCAATAATAGATTAATTACTATTCTGCATCAAACAGCTTCATAGTTATTCAGACTTATCTTGTTGAAAACAGGAATGAACCCACTTTCAATTACCGCAGCCTTCTTTTTTTCTTCAAAATAACCTTTACAATTATTTGTCAAACAGGGTTTTTTTGCAAGATTTGATACTGTTCCTACTTTATGAATTTCTTTCACTAATAGTCTTATAACAAAGAAAATCATCATTTGACATTTGTATAATAAATTGATATTTAATGTCAATATGTTTTCATATTCTGTCGGTTTTTACAAAAACCTCTATCACAAAATTGTTTTGACTCATTATCACAAAATTGTTAAAGAATATCTGTATTTATTGCATTCAGTTCCTTAGCTGCACATAATTCTTCCTTATCTTAGCTACGCATTTTTCTTCCACACTTTTTGTAAGTGATCCTTAGAATTTAAAATGATAGATTTTTGTTTCCCGGATTTTCACATAAGAAGAACATAATCCATGTATAATATATGACTGCTGTTCAAGTATCCTTCTGATAAGTTACACCCCCAATTTGAATCTGACTATTCTAATAGTTTGCATTTACTTACATTCAAAAAATTAATTTTTAAATGGTTAGTATAAATACATAATTTTTACCACTGCAAATTTTCAATGTTGACTCAAGCATAACTTCAAACATTTATTAAGCAAAGCTAATCGTGATTATTTGCAAAGTATGTAGTTGCACGGTCAAGCACACGAACTTGCCATAGGACTCTGTAGCAAAAATCAACATCTTTCTAAGAAGATTACAAAGTACACTTACATCAAAAGATTAATTTTTAAATGTTTACTATATAAATACATAATTTGTCTCATGTTAACTACAAATATCCAATGTTGATGCAAGATGTTTTAGCATAACTTCAAAGATTTATTAATCACAATTAATCTTGAATATTTAAAAATTATGTGGTTGTACGATTAAACAAACAAACATGCCGTAGCTCACCACAGCGAAAATCAACACCCTTCTTACGAAGATAAGTACTTGGTATTGTTATATGACTACACCAATGATAATCAATGATATCAAGGTAGTTCTTGCCTGTATACAACACAAAATGTCATCATCAACCAGTATAAAACCCTATTGAGCACCATGCATACCATTAAAGATACAGGTATGTAAAAAGATTAGTTGCAAAGTTTTTCTATGGCTAAAACGTAACTTAAAAAGGAAGGAGACACAACCTTTAATTTTGTAATTATGTCATTAAGAATTAGAAAAAGTGTATTATGAGCAAAGATCCGTCTAATTAGGCATATTGATCAGTATTTTGGAAGAAAAAAATTGCCAGATATGCAGATTTTGACATTGTGCTAAAGCATCAATGACATGCATTGATAAAAAAAAGTGTTGTATCTTTCTAATATTATAATTTTCAGCTTCTACCTTTAGGAAATAATTTCTGAATGTCAGATGGTTATTGTGAATATTTACAAATTATCTGGTTGTACGATTCAACAAACTGTCAGATATTGTAAAAACAATAAAATATTTTTTTAAGTACCTGTTATCGAGAGTCTATATACAGTTTTGCCTTTTTACTAAATTTCAATTTCTAGTGGTACACTTTACAGAACTAAGAGAGTGTTTTTTTTTTTTTTTTTAATTATTATATGCTCAAAAATAGTTAGGTCCATAATTTATGAATTATAATTTTAAGATATTTAAAGGCTATGTATTTTTGGGCTAGTTAAAATACCCAATTATTAATTAGTTAAAATATCTAATTTTTATAAATCATGTAAGAAACATAAGTTTTATGCCCTTGTTTATTTAAGAAATTTAAAAATTTTTTCACTAACTTGACTCAAAATAATATGTTTGCATTTCCATGATTGCAATAGATTACATGAAAGTCAGATAAATAAACTGTATTAAAAAATGTATGTTCTTAATGCTAATCATACGTTTGACATGTCTATAAATTTTAAATAATTGTTCCAATGTTTCATTTCAGTGTCGATTAATTGTCAGCCAGATGAGTTCAACTCGTTGTGAAACTTTTAACTGGTTGTTTTATCCTATTGGCTTTGCTATAACCTTCATTTTTTATTCTCCAAATAAGAGTAGTAAAACTGAGATTCAAGTAGCTTGGGCTTTATTTATATTATCTGTTGTTGCTCACATTCATTATGGAGTTTGCGTTGTAAGTAACTTTTAATATTTTTTATGTTCAAAGGATTTTTAGCATATATTTTTAATTGAATGAATTCATGTGCATCATTACTGTATTTTAAGATGAAGATTTGTTGCTCATTATCACTAAAGTATATATTTGCAACCAGTTGATAAACAAAAAGTTTCTAACTTAAATTGCAACGATTATAATAAAGTTTTTTTTAACAAAATATTATGAGCATGACATTATTACTCTTTATTAAGTTATTGTAAAAATATTTAGTGTAGCTCTTCTAAAATTCAAAATTATTTTATTAGGATAAGATAAATAACTTTTATTTTTTTATTATTTGCCAAATGAATAAATTTTTTTTTTGTATATTTAAAATAACTTAATAGTTTCCTATCCTACAAAGAAGAATTTTTTATTCTTATAATGAATAAATTGGAACATGAATATTGTAGATCGATAATTCGACTATTTGAAGCGAATATTTTTTAAAATTTAACTGTTCTGATGCTTTAATGTTGGAGTAGTGACTAATAGTTTTTCTATAACTTTAATACTCTTCAATAAAGGGTAGAATTAGATTTATTTTTGTAAATTAGTTTTTAACAATTATTTTTCTTGTTTTTATACAACCAGAGAGAATGGTTACTTCACTTTACAACTTTGGTAATGGATTTCATTCTCTGTACTGCAACAGGAAATCATTTTCTGAACTGCAACAATTAACATAAATATTTAGCAGTGTCAATAAATTTAAACAGTGACACTATTATAATATTTTTTTGTTATTTTGAAATCTATTTAAGGTTTAAGAGTTTCATTTTTAGAGATTCTTTTTATTATCTTCTGCTTTCTCTGAATTTAAAAAGAAATACTGCTACTCTTCCTAAAGAAAATACAAAATTTCACATATTTCTAGATAAATGTTTAGAGAAAATTTTGAGAGGAAAATGTTATTTTATGTTAGCTTTCCTTTAATTATGTCAAGGCTGATAAATTTCACCTGTATAGCGGAACAGTTTATCAAAAACTATTTAGAATGAATTATAATTCTTTGCTGTCACATGCTCTTATGAATTAAACTGTTAAATTCTTGCTGTTTTCAGCTTTTTTGACATTAAGATAAAACTAAGTTACAAAATTCTAAAGAAAAGCAAAAAAGTAGACAAAAAATTATTAATTTTTCATGTTTTTCAAAAGATTTGCAATGCAGTCTTTTTTTTCATTAAAAAAAATCAATTGGTGACTTGATGTCAATTTAGAGTAAATTTTAAAATTTTCAAGCATTGGTTTTTCACGAGAATCTTGATCTTGTGCAGGGGCGTAAAAAGGGAGGGGTTTAAACACCCCCCTTGAGCTCAGACAAAATGGCAAAAATAAAAATTTTAGTAGAAATTATGCGGGCTATTATTTTTTAAGACTAAATATTTTTATTTGCCTTATGCCTACTTTTTTTCTCACGGCATTTCTCACTGAAAAAACGTTTACTATAGTAGAGTTGTACTTTTGAAACCAAATTCGCGTGATACTGTTACGGGCTGATTCCTTTCTGTCCTGCCAGTCGCAATAGTTTTCGAGATTGGCAGTCAGTCATTTGCGTGGTCTTTACGCGATGATTCTGGAATCCTAGGCATTCTGTTGTCTTTGAGACAATTCGAAAATTTTGGAGTTGTGGTGAAAAATTATATAAAAGGGGGAACGGAGCTCGTAGCTAAATCTGCTTCGTTTTGTCTTAACAAAAAGTTAATTCAATCGCCGAACCCGTAGTCGCCACTATTTCGACTAGTGAAGAAATCAGTAACAATAGCATTGGAGATACTGTGCTAGTTGGAGTTATTCATTCCAGCTCGAAACTTTGAGATCGTAGCATAGCGGACATTTCTATGCCAATAAATATATGTATATATTTGCTGTTCTTGGGTCTTTAGGATGCCAAAACGCAAGAATTTAACAATTTTTAATCATTTTGAGGAAAATTCACGACCTAAAATTAGTGAGGTGACAGCATCTGGTACCAATGTAAGTTTTACTATTGAACAGAAGTGTTATACCTTAGAAATGTTATTGAAGAAAACGTTTCTAGCATAACAAAATCTGATGAATGTGAAGTGGCCCTCAAAGTGTTACTTCCCACCCATAGGACATTGGACTTTTTTCAGAAGCTATTACATGCGAGATGATATTACACTATGTTCTTAAACTTAAAAAATCAAATCCAAAATTGTTAGCTGTCTAAATTAGGGAAATAATAGTGCTTTATTACATACTCGAATTTCTTTTAGTAATTTCAGAAAATTATGAACACCCCCCTTGAAAAAATTCTGTGTACGCCACTGATCTTGTGTTTGAGGAAAGAAATTGTGCCCAGTCTCACTTTTTTGCAGCTCCTTCTTGAAATTCACCTTCACAAAATATCATTGAAACGTAAAGGTAGTTTATATATAAACATTGATGTAAAAAATATCAATGCATCTAATGATGTAATCAAATGCAAGAAGAAAAAAGTGTTAATTTTGTTATGTGCTTCTTCTGTACAAAAAAAATATAGAAGTTCACAAGTGCCAAAGCTACTAACATTGATGATCTGTCTAACAGATGCTCATCCTAATGTGGAAGCATCTTTCTTTTGTCATTGATAAAATGTAAACTAACAAATCTGAATTAAGATCCATTTGATAAAGTATGGAATTGATAGAATTTCCCATAACAGGGTTGCCATTTCATAGAGAGAATATGGAAAATACAGGGAATTTTAAAATCACCTAAAATAACAGGGAAAATACAGGGAATTTTGATTATTTTTTTTTTCATTACAAACAGGAAAATTTCTTATCTTATTTTCATGTTTTAAAAAATGGTGACCACTTGATGCATTATCTATAAGATATTTATGGATATTTCAGCTATATAAAACTTTCATTTGCTATAGCATTATTAAAGTATGTTCAGCTATTCCTTTTTTTTTCTCTTAAGTTTTTCCTGCAGTTGCAGTTCAGCAGTTAGCCCAATACAGTTCATAAAAGATCACAGTGATTGTAATTTTCTTCTGTGTACGATATGTACTGGGAAAACACTAGGATTTTTTTTTCCAGATTTGAATGGAAACCTTCCATAAGGTTGGTGGCAAGAGTTTTTCTCATTTGGAGAATCAGCCCCAACTTAAAGCAGGCCCAGAACTACCTGACTTTTAGTGACTTAAACTGAAACTAAAAAGTAAACAGATTTTTGTACAGATTTAGTTTCATCAAATTTTACTGTTTCATTTGTAGTTTGAAAAGATAATTGTTCAAATTATATGAAACTATATCAATTGCGTTTGAAGAAATAGAGTAGAAATAATTCAAATATTCTTTCCTACCTGGTTTTATCTTTTTACCAGACTTCGATACTGTGTCGCTTGTCTTCAAAAGAAACGCATTATTGAAGTCTGGTAAAAAGATAAAACCAGGTAGGAAAGAATATTTGAATTATTTCTACTCTATTTCTTCAGCATTAGCTATGTATATAAACATATGATTAAACTAAAATAATATTTAGCTAGGGTAAAATATGATCAAGAAAATGTCAAAGGAGTAAAACAGTAAAGAATTAATTTTGGGAGTCAAGGAAACTAGTATTGAGATTTTTTTGATTTATATAAAATGTGAAGTTCATAGTTTGCGGAGTAAATAAAAAGGAAATTGGAAGAAAAAAAAAAATTTTTTTTACATTTTTCCTCAGATGGCATTCTGCAAAATTGAAGTTTTGAATTGAATATTTTTCTTCGGGATTTAGGTTCCTAATGTACTATAATTAAAGTTGCTAAAGACATATTGGTTACCATTTTAATTTAAAAATTTCTAATTCGTAAATGGTTCATTTGTGTTTATTTAAAAGTTTAACTATTGTCTTAAATTATTTCAGCATAGATGTTATTAAGAATTCAATGCAACATCGCACATTTTCTTGTTAAAAATATTATTCTTTAATCAAACTTGGACCCTTTCATTTTTCTTAAAAATATCTTAAGTTATGTATTATAGTTTTCTAATTCTTCATAATAAGCTTCATAATGTTGTTAAAAAGGAACATAATTAGTTACACGAAATTCTGACTGAATAATTCATATTGTGTAAAACTTAAAAGCATTCTTCATTTTATGTACGACTAATTTATTAAGAACTTAACTCTTCTAATAACGCCTAGTTATATCTACTAAATATTAACTGCATCTTCCCTTAACTTTGTGCCATTTTTAAAAAATCGAAGTTCAATTTTTGTTAGTTAAATGGTGCCTAATTTTTTTAAATGAATAAATCTATTCAAACTATCTTTCCTTTCCAAGTGTTACAACTCTATACAAACTTGCACTTTAATTTTGCTTATTTTTGAAAAAGATGGGTCTAAGGTTTTGAAGCTTTGAATACACAGTCTCAGTAATAATTAAATGATTCTATTCTCAAACTAGAATTCCTTAAATCTGACTGTGAAAAGTAATAACACTAAAATTTTGTATTTGAATGACAATACTTTGATTATTTTTGTACTTTTTAATTCAAATGAAACCTTATGAGTAATTTCAAAAGTAAACTTTATATGTAATTTCTAATGCAGTTAATTTTATTTACTTTATTTAGGTGCAGCAGATGTGCCGCCATTTCCAGATACATTGTTTTTCATTGAAGAAGGAAGGAAAAGAGTGATTTTATTTCTCATCTCAATTTGTTATGTGTGAATGTTAGTTAAGTGAATGTTTTTGAAACTTGAATTCCTTTATGATCTAATAGAAACAGAACTATTTTCAGGTATCAACAACTTCAGGTCTAAAATTTTGAGTAAAATGTTTTCCTGTCAAGAAATGGCTGAGAGTTTTTTGTTCTAATTTTGCCTTGTTTTCCTTTAACTTTGCTTAATATTGTGATACATAACACTGAATACAATTTTACCACTAGAATAATTGAGTATTATACTCATGTGGCCTTTTTAATGACAGGTGATGTCTGTTTTTGAACATTCCACACAAACACTGTTATTGTTCTTTAAATTTTTGAATGTGATTTTGTCCTTCTATTCCAATTATGAAAAATAATGGAAATTGCTTTTATTGTAATTAAGAAACTCGTATAGTAAATATTTGACTTTTTGAAGGGTTGTATGTAATATAAGTAAGTGCATTGCTGTAACAAAAATGTGTTGATATTTATTATATTAACAAGATATTGAATGAAAAGTTAAATGTAGATCTAGTCCATGTAATGATGTGTACTTGACTGTTATGTCGTGAGTAAATCCTCTTGTGATAAATACCGATTTGGTGTAACTATTTTGAATTTGAAAACTTTTCGTAGATATTGAAAATGACTTAATTTTGTTGTATGTCTTTATTATAGCATGAAAGTCAGATTTGCATCTGGATAATGCTTCAATACTTATGAAAAGCTTTTATTGAATTTTGGATTTAATTTGTTTTGATGCATTGCATCTGACCATTTTTACAAGTATAAGAAATATTTGATCCTTTTGAGGTATATTTATGCTGTAAAATTTTATGATTTGAAAACATGCATAATATTTGGACTATTCAACTCCTTCATTAATCTTGAGCTTTATTCAGCTTTTACAAGATATAGTTTTTAGTTTATGGGTGATTCTTCAAAAACCTAACATTTTCAAACAGCATATTCTTAAATTCTTTAAAGAAATCTAAAAAAGAAAAAAAAAAAAACTTTATAAATCCAACAAAATAGTGGAATTAAACAAACAGTGTTGCCATACTCCAAACAACATTTTTTTCCCCTCACTTTATTGAAAACTTCTGTAGATCAGGATACTGACATTAAAACCTTATGACCTTGATAAGTTGCATGTTTAAATAAATTTAAAAAAATAATAATAAATACTCTTTTTAAGCATATTTAATTCATTACTAAAAATAAATTTGTGAAATTTTAAACAAAGTTTGTAGTTAGTCATTTCAAAGTTTGTTTTTTTTTATAGAAAGAGTAAATGAATAACCTTTGTATGGATTGGCTTAGATAGGAAAAATTAGGTCTTCAAGTTTTTTTTTTGTATTGTGTCTTTTTTTTTTTTNTTTGTTTTTTTTTTTTTTACCATTCTTAGGTTTCTGGAGAATTACCCATATAATTACAATTTATAGTTATTTGAGATTTCATAGTAAGTTAGCAAGTTTAATGATAAGAGGATAAATAAGAGATTTAATTATAAGAGGGTAAACATGAGATTTAATGTCAAGAGTGTAAAGTTTAATCCTCTTTATTTAATAATATAATAATAGCTAAATTTTTAAAGCTACTGATTTAAGAAATGAGTTGTACTCAATGTAACGCACATCTAAAAGATTTCGATCTACTGATTTTCCATCAACCTTTCCGATTGTAGAACATTTTCAAGTTAAAATAATGCTTTAGTTAAAATGCATATTCCTTATGTTTTTAAAGAACATTAAATTTTTGTATGTTGTAGGTGTCAAGAACATATTAATTTATTGGCTCTTATATCTGTTTTGAGAGAACTAGTCTGTCCAATCTACTAATTAAGGTTTTAATTGCTGTTAAGTCTATTAAGTAAAAAAAAAAAAAAAAGCTTTCCTATATCAATCATCTAATGCTTTTTCTTTGAACTTGGTTGAAATTCTTTGCTTCTGATTAAATAGTTTTTCTTAATATTGAGCTCCTTTAATAAAATTTTTAATGTTAACTCTACTTGGTCTGGAACTATGTAGGTCATACGTGGATATTCATTTTTGAAAAACCTTATATATTTGTATTGAAAGAAACTATTTATTTTTCAAAATTGAAGTAGCTAGTTTAATTATTGTATTAGATTAAAAATTGTGTTTGTGTTAGATTAATTTATATTAGATTAAAAATAAGATTTTTTAAAATTTTTTTTATTAATTTTTTTAAGTAAAAAACCAATTCAATAAACATTTTCTAAAGAAATTAAGCAATTTTTTTCTTCGTGCATTGTAGAAATAACTTTTTGCACGTATCTGAATAAATTATTATTTTTTGAATAGATTAAATTTTTTTTTTTTATTTCTGCTGCAAAATATATCTAGTTAATGTTCTTTTTTTAAGTTTCTTTGACTTCTTTTGACATTTTATTGGTATGATAGCCTTGATGCAGAAAGCTGAAAAAATAAGAATTCAGTATGATTTAATTAATATTCAGCACTTAAGATCTAGTAATATAATCTTTATAGAATTCTGTTTAAATTTTTATAAATCAATTTGTGTGTTGTTAGAATTCAGCATTTGTGTACGCATAGATCTAATTAATAATCAGTTAGTGGTTATAATATTAAAAATGTAAGATTTTTCCTAAAATTAATGTTAAGGTGGACTCCTAGAATTGGTTATGGTCTTGTTGAAATGGAAAATAGTTGCTTGGAAAAGTTTGCGTCTTTGATGAATACTTTTTCAAATTTTTTTTTTTTTTTTTTTTAAGTCAGTGCTGATCAAAAATAAGAAATTTAAAGAAAATCACGTTTGAGAGGCACATATTATTGGACTAAAACTCTTCATAAATAATCAAATGCAGTCAATGAGTTTCTAGCACACAAAACATTGAATTGTCCTGTTGCGAAGCACGTTTTATGTGCTCAATACGTATGTCATTATTTTGAATTTATAATGAATTGTTAAAGTTCTATTAGTTTAGTTAAGTTCGCTACAGTTTTTGGGATATTTAATCAGAAGCTTATATAAATGTGATATTTCTCTAAAAATAACAATGCTTCTCCCATCTGTTTTACTTCAAAATTTTATTTGTATAAACTGTTTGCCTACTTAGTCACTAAAATGATATCTATGTCGCTGCAATATTTTTTACATGCAGTAAGTTACATAGTTAAATCTTGTGTACTGTTTTGAAATTAAACTTCTGAGGGTAAAAACTTAAGTGAGGTAAAAAATATTATTAGCTGTTATAAATCTTTAAAAATTTAAATATTTCTATTATTCAAAGGAAAAAAAATCAATGCTATTTCTGGAAATGATAAGTTTTGTCTGGACTAAAATCACATTAATGGAAAAAGTTTGATACTGACCTTTCAAAATATGATTGTAATTCCATTATTTTGTCCATTCCCTGCAGTTATTACTTTGCTGCATAGCATATCAAAGCATTGATTTAAAAGATCGTCAGGATAACCAGTTATTGAGCAATTAATTTTTTGACAAGGATGGAACGCTTGTCTCTTTTATGTATTTTTTTCTGAATCTCTAATTACAAGTAAAGATATACTTTGATATTTTATATTATAAAAAAACAGTCTAATAGTGACTAAAAGGAAGTCTGTTAGAGTATCGGGAATATATTTGTACTAAACATAAAATCCAAAAAGAAAATTCTTTCTTATTCATATTCAAAAATTTATCAATAATTGATTTTGTAAATTAAAGAAATTTCAATCATGAATAACTGTTTATCTTAGATCTAAATAAGTGCACATTTGAAAACTTGTTTGGAAGTGAGCCGTGCTTAGACGATTTTTCCTTCAGTCTAGAGAAACACACCAGTGTTTCCTGCTGTATTTCATAACCATAAAATATTAAAATGCTTAATATAATATTTTTTATTTATATTGTCCTAAATCATTGTAAAATAATGAAAAAAAAGTATGAAAAATATGTTTAACAAAAATTACGTATCAAAGGGTTGCCCCCTTTCTCTTATTGATTTTTTCCAATTTTTTTTTTTTTAATTTCTTATCAAGTTTGATATAAGACTTATTAATGTCTTTTATGTTTTCATTTTTCTCTCGATTGCTGATAGAGCTTGAAAGTAAAAAATATTCTCTTAAGTAAGGTATATCTGAAAAGCTTAGATAAAATAGCTAGTGGTGATTCAAAGTATTTTTATTCATAAAATGGGGGGGAAAATATTGGATACTATTTAATTATGTGTGCTTTTTTTCAACATAATTGTTCTCATTGTCAATGCATGTTAAGGTAGCTTTATATAATCTGAAAGCCATACAGTGCTGGACCTTTTTTTCGAAACACCTGGACCATTTTCAGTATCTTAAATCCTTCCATTGACTGATTTAGACACACAAAATTAGTTTAGATTTGTGAGACATTGATTTGCTAAAGCTGCTTCTTTAATTTCAAAATGTTCATCATAAATGATTTGTTCTATACTTAAAAATGCATTTTCTTTACCTTTAAGAAAATGTTGTTACAGAAAAGTTATTTTTTTATCTGCTAATTTTCGTATTTTACGTTTAAAGAACATTAAGTTTGTTTATTGAGAAATGAATAAGTACTCATCAACAACTTAAAAGAAAACCAAAAAGTATCAAAATTAAAGCCAGTGTTACTAAAATTCGCAATAAAATGCTGCCTTTTTGCATTTACATTGTATGCTTTTACATGTTAGGCATATATTTTATGTATTTGCATAAATGTATATTCAGGAACTGTCATTTTTATTTTTAAATTACTGCATCCTTAACTTATAAAGGTTAATTTAAAATCTGTATTTTGAAAACTGCTGTTTTGCCAGCTGATTTGCAGCGATGCCTGCTGATTTGAACACGCCAAAATAATAATAATAAATTTACAAAAAACAGTAAATAACTACAAACTAAATTTTGCAAATATTTGACTATTTTTGCTTGTTTTTTAAAAGGTTATAGCATGACATAACTACTGTAAAGTGGTGAATTTTATAAGCCTATGAATTATTTAGAAATAGTGGTGGATAAAAATCTACTAAATTGAATTTATTAAACCAAGAATCACAATTGATAAATTACCTACTAAACAATTGATTTGCTGTCCCAAGCAAGTTGGCATCTCTGGTTTTGCCTTAAGTTCTCTGCTTTCAGTAACAAAACCAGTTTTTATGAACATAATTCAGTAAGACATAATGTTTAGCAAGGTAAACTTCGTACAAATTTGTTTAGAACAGTAACTTTTAAAAGGTTACACTCTTGAAACTTGATGAAATACTATTCACAAGAGTTCATTCTACTTAACTTGTTAAAGCTACAAGTACTTTGTAGCTGATTTCACTTGTGTTGTTCTCGGCAGCTATTTCGTGTAATCTTCAGATGATTTTAAATTGCATATTGATTTTAGATGGATATAATATTGTGGAATTTTCTGTTATGTTACATTTAACACATTTCATGTTGTGGAATAAAAAGTAAGCTATTCTGCTACATTTTTTTGTAATTTTGGGGAAGTTCTAATTTCTCTCTCTGCAAAAAAACGCCTAACGTATGTGTATATATATGCGTGGATACACAAAGAATGTTTTTGTGTTAATTAGTGGTTCTTGTGTTGAATATTTTAAATTCCTTTATGATTTGCATTTGTTTAGGCAGGTTCATAAATTTTGTGTAATGTGAAATTTGAATCAAGTTTCTATTGAAACTTGAGCACTTTTTTATTATTTTTTTTAATAGAAATCTGTCATGTGTTGAATCATTTATTATTACTATTATGTATTTGTCTTATTTTCTATTCATTCCATTGTAAAGTAATAAAGGTATAATTAATCTGCATCTACTATAATCTGGAACTCTTGGGGTCTAAATATATATCATCTAAAATTCTTAACCCCCTTGGTAGAATCGCAGCAACATTGTCGCAGAACGTTACAGAGCTCTTGCAGAAAGTTTTTTTTCTTTCGGAAAGTAAAAAAAAAAACTTCTATTCTACAGAAATTTACGCGTAATATTTGAATCATGCATTTAGATAATCATTTTTTGGTGTGCTCAATTTAGTATTGTAAATCTATAAAATGTTTCGATTGTATATTATTGATTATATTATTATTGATTTTCACATGAATTTTAACATCCCGATACATTCAAACAATATGGAAAATTAGAATCATGCATTTGCGTATATACTTTTTAAGGCAATAATTCTTATTGAATTTTTGACAGTTATTGCTATTGATTTCTCCATAATTTTTTATACAATATTATTTATTACAACAACCTATCCGTTTTGCGTGATTTTGTCATCAATCATTTTTTTTTTGTGGCAATTCTACGGATTTCATGATTTTTAATTATTATTTTTAATTGTGATGATTATTTTCAAAATGCGAAGAAGGAAATACTTTGTATGTTCTCTCCCCCCCCCCCAACAAAATGTGAGAATATCACCCATAATATTTGAATAAAAAATTATTGCAAGTTCTATTAAAAAAATAATGTAAATACAGTGCTTTTGATATTTTAAATTAGTAACACATATGTTCGTTATTATTAAAAGTATCTTGCAGAACACTAATATTGCTAGAGAGCTTTGTCGCAGATAGCTTGAAAAAATCTTGCCACAGGGATCTTAACACCCTGTGTATCAGTTATTTTTATGGTCCTTGTGGAAATTATAGGCAAATTTATTTTGATTTGCATCACTGAAAGGGCTTTGTCAACCAGTGCGTAAGTTTCCATTAAAAAAAAAAAACTTTAAGACCAGAATTTTTCTCTTAACTAATCTGAAT